TATACTAAACTTTGGAGGGAACATTTCTCCAGTCTGCTGAACGGCAGTGAAAGTGAAACACCTGGGGATGGTGTACCCGCTACCTTACTACGTCGAGGTTCGAAAGCCTGCGCGACGATTGGAACCTAAGTATACTCTGCCCAATCCACAAAAAGGCGATCCCACAATCTGCGCCAACTACCGTGGTCCAATCCAACCGTCAACAAATGGACTAAACTTCATCAGTGTGGCTTTAGACCTGGTGAGCCAAGCATTGACCAGTATCACCGTTCGCAAAATCTAGAAAAAGACCCTTGAAAAGAGAATCGACACACACAACCTCTTCGTCGATTTTAGAGCAGTCTTCGAAAGTTCGAAAAGCAGCCGCGTCCATGTCTCTATATCTGAATTCTGTATCCCCACCAAACTTATACACCAGCAGCGCAGTCTGAATTACGAAGGACTTTTGCGAGCTTTTTGGTACCAAACGAGGTTTCAGACCGTTTATTGTATTCTTCAACTTCAAGCTGGAGTGAATAATAAGACCTGCTGAGATGAACAGACAAAGTACAATCTTTTAGAATTATATACAACCAATGGCGTATGCCAATGATATTGACATTATCGGCCTCAACAACCGCGCCGTTAGTTCTGCTTTCCCCTAGATAAATAAAAAAGCGAACCGAATGGGTCTAGAAGTGAACGAAGTCAAAACGAAATATATTCTGTCATCAAGCATACAGTCATCGCATTCGCGACTTGGCTCCCAAGTCACTGTTGACAGTCATAATTACGAGGTGGTAAAAAATTTCCACTATCTAGGAACCAGTAAAGGTGCTACTTTGGACTGAGTAGGCGATTGAAAAGAACAGACCTCTCTCAGCGAATAAACCCTTAGTCGGCTTTGGGAGTCTTCGAGAGAAAAGCTTTGAGAATCGATGGTCCTTTGCGTATGGGCAACGGCGAATACCGCAGACGATGGAACGACGAGCAGTACGAGCTATACGATGATATTGACGAATACGAATACGACTAGTATGGCGAATGAAGAGACAGCGGTTACGCTGATCAGATCATGTCGTCCGAATGGATGAAATCACTCACGCTTTGAAAGTATTCGATACATTACCTGCTGGTGGAAGCAGGAGAAGAGGAATAGAACGATCTGGTTTCACTTGGTGTTTCCAACTTGCGCCAACATTGAAAAGATGAACGGCGCTTAATTGATTCGGCTATCATTCCGTAAGCGGTGCCAACGCCAATAAAGAAAAGAAGAATTGGTAGGTAGTAGAGCAATGTATAACACGCTTATGGCATCATGGCCGGTAGTACAAATTAGAATTCGTACTTCACTACTAGATTAGTATGGTAGCATTATTTACTCATACTCCAATATTAGCGGACGACATTACCAACTACAACAAAATCTATTAGTTATAGTTTATTTCCACCTTTTCTGTTCTCTATAGCCGAACGAGCCAGTTTACATTTTTACCACCTGTACCACCCGACTGGAAGGGAGTATTTGCATATTTTCAATGTAATTTTCGTCAACAAATTTCATAATCATAATGTCCCGATATAAACACTTATCAAATATACATGATCTATGACAATAAATAATTATTTACTAATTAGGATTTAATTCATTTTGAAGCAAATTCTCTTTTTCTGATTTCATTTAAAATTCGTTTATAAAATTCAATACCTAGTATAAGCAAGCACTCTTCTAAGGTTGCAGCTAGAGACAGAGTTGGCCTCAATATTATTTTCTACTTCTACTTTTTCAGAAAATAACAATTTCCGCGTGAGCTGACCATCGAAAGTTGCTCATCCGCAACTATACCGTGCCGGTTTAGTTTATTAAATTTGACTTTACATTATTCAATTATTTTGAAGTCTCAGGAACTCCGACCAGGACGTTCCCAAAGCTTCGACTTCCACAAGGTATTTGGTAGACGCTGCGGCTGCTGAGATGTCTAAACCAACGGTTAAAATTCACGTTAAAAAGAAAAGTTTTAAGATCAGTACGCTTTTGGGCTATTTGTATCACCGATAACTCCTATTCAATCTCCAATGCAAAATTATATGATTCGCAGTTATTTGCAACACAAATGGTACAGGCTTCTCCATATGGATTGGATACAATAAGTTCTTCACTATCCATAAGTTGGGCTATATATTTAAACTAAAACGCTTGCCTCTTAAGCATTAGCCATACATTTAATTTGCAAAATTATTTGCCATCCAGTCCAGTAGTGGGGTTTTCTATTGAATTGTGACGATTTCCGGATCATTAAACGTAAATTCATTATAGGAATTTTTTATATCAGAATATAAACTATTTTCCAAATATAATATAATAATAATGCATATTTATTGGAATCAATCGTTTCGATTATAAATAAAAAATAGCAGACTACCAACACATACACGTATATTGAACTAATAGTCTAATATTCAACTAGTTCACATTTCTTCACCAACTAGTTCATCTTTATCCATTTTCCATGTAAGCAACTGTTATTTTTAACACGGCGGTGTCCTATGAGCTGAAAATCGTCCTATTGTGCATAAGCTTCATACTAGACTAGTTCAATAATAGTTCATTTCGGCAAGTTGAATTTCTATTTCACATAAATTATGCTAAATAAATTTGGGCTCGCCGGCTGCAAGAATCGAACCGGGACCCTCACGCACCATAGTGAAGACATGTAACCACCAGATTAACGTTATGATATATGAAGGAACGAAATCGGCGCACTTCAACAGAAGTTTTTAAGAAATGAAACTCAGCCGTGTCAAACTAAAAACAAAAACAACATACAAATGACGAGGAAATAAAAGTTTCTGTTTAACCAAAAATTTAAAAAAAAAAATAAATATTAAAAATTTTTTTTTAACCAAATAGAAAAAAAATTAAAAATTAATTTGCTTCTAGCGGGTCTCGAACCGAAAGCTTAACACGCTATAGCGATAACCTCTAACCACTCGCCTATCATAGCGATGCTATGATTAATGTCATTTTGCGCATTACAATAGAACAGAGAAGAGAATGGAACTCAGCCGCGGTGTGCCGATGTAACAACAACAATCGGTGGTGGAAATTGTTATTTCTCTTGTTACTGGTGGACTGCTCTACAAATAACGAGCTGGTATGATTTCATCTTCAACATTCTAGTATTTACCTAGAATTTCTGCATACTGGTCGGTTTTCCCCTGCAGGGCCCTTACTACCAGACCGCTACAGAGTTTTGGAATCTGCATAGATTAACGCCAGTATTATTTGAAGAAATCGTTTACCAAATTTATAGCTAACTACAAGGCAAAGGAGTAAAAAAAATATACATACATAGAAACAGGTAGCAATATAAAATCAAAGTATTTATTCAGTTGTAACACTACTTAAGTGTTTATCGTGCGTAATCCTTTACGACAAAAATAAGCAACATGTATAAATTAAAATAACTTGAGCGTAATATTTAATTTCAAAAAACTGAGAAATTGTAATAACTCTTAGGTTTCAAGTGACGGGAGCTCCTGCGTGTCTAAGAGCCAAACTTAGCGTAGCGTACATGCATACATATTTCTTGGCAAGCATCAATTAGGAGCTTCCGCGGGGCTAAGAGCCAAACCTACCGTAGCTTACATGCATACATGTTTATTTGCAAGCATCAATTATGCATAAAGGTCACTAACCCGTCGAAACAAATGGCAAGGGATGACTGTTGCAGAAATGCAGAAAAAGATACATACAAACGTAAACGTGAGAGCGAAATTCAGCACTTAGCGTTAAATAGAAGTATAAAAAAGTACTCTCCTGATTCTCTGAGCGTCACATTTGTTAACAATACGTTAACCGGCGGATTTATTGCTACATCACCCTTTTATTACGTTTCCTTAAATAAATTTATCTTGTGTGCCAACATTTCTTTCTTGGCAATTATAATATTTCAGAATAAACTTTAATAAATCTTCTTCTTCTTTATTGGTGTTGCCTCCGTTAACGCGATTATAGCGGAATGTTAACGCGCCATTTATCTCTTCTCAAAAGTGGCCTCGAGACGCTCGACTCCAAATTTTCGCCCCTTTATATGGCCGCTTTAGTAAATTTCACAAGGATCCACCTTTTTCCGTCCTAGTCCTGTCCATCGCACTTCGGCGGCGATGTCAGCCTTTATTCTCACGAAGACATCAACCAGCTGGACAGCGGCAATTTCCCAATTATGGGACCGAATACTCCAGGTGCATGCCCTCAAAACGTGATCATTAATTCGTTTGTGGGGGTCGTCATCAAAAGGGGGGTCTCTTATCCGAAGCGGAGTTAAAGTTTTCATAGGAATTTTGTGGTTTTCATGTGGTGGGTACCAAACCCTACGCACAACCGCATGGGACTCGCCGTTTTACTTTAGTTTGCTTTGCTGCTCAGGTGGTACTTGGCCTAAGACCGGAAGTCGTGATCCGCTTGTACCATAAGTAAACAATCGTTTCCGGCCTCTCCCTGGTGAATGGAAGTCAAAAACTTTCCTCACCAGCGTGAATTTGTACACATGGCGCCACCCCTTAACTTCCATAATTTTTTTTTTATTTTAGCACGACACCAATTAAATTAAAAATAAAATTTAATCTTAATAACTCGTATTTTTAATTCAAATTTAATTTTTCTCTTCACGACCACAAACTTTTGCCATATCCGTCATATTAATCGCTCATTGTTTTTCGTGGGCAGGATCAGCTGCCATAGTCAGGTCGACGTTTGACATGTCAAGCTGATGTTCCATGTGTGCATGCTCTTATTCTCTTTTTTCGGCACATCATGTCCCATATTTGGGCGCCTTCATCAAGCGAGATCGGTAAGTGCTAAGCGAATTAAGGAGATAGAGTAACTTATGAGAGGGTTACAGTGGTGGCGAAAGGTATAGTTTTAAACATTGTGGTTAAAAAAAGACGAATTACAAGGAAATTTACATTTATGTATTTTTATAAATATATCTATTAATATACATGTACATATATATATACTAAAATATAAGTAAATATCAATTTTCCAGGATCTTAACAATTGGAATTAGAAAAAAATATTAAATTTTGTATTCGGTTATCGCAAAGAAAAATATATGTACAAAGATGTTACTGAGCACTGATGCCGACGCAAGAATAGGAATTGAGTAAAGCCTTGCAACTGTAACCGCATACCCAGAAGCTTGACTTCACCCCATTTACAATCCATTACATTGATGTATATTGAAATCATAAACTAAAAATAAAGGTAAACTAAAATTAAAGTTGGAATAATTAAAATTAAATTATTCTAACTTAAATTAAAAAAAAAATACTAAGTAAACATATATGGTAAAAGAAATTTTAACCAAAAATAAATAAATGAAGCTAAAATAAAAATAATTTAAAATTGAAGTTGAATCAATTACACATATCAAAGTAAAGTAATTTGAAGTAAAAGAAGCTCACTTAAGTACAAGCAAGATTAGTCATAATTAAAAACAAGTTATACATACAGATATATATATATATATATATATATATATTTATATATGTATATAATATTTAGTGGATGAGTATATATTTTAATTTTCAATAGCTGTATGTATAACTTGTTTATATATATATATATATATATATAATTGGCGTTTTGTAACCGCTGAAGCGATTTTCCGCCGATTTCCTCCTCCAATTTGTGGTTTTGCGTCTTGATGTTTTTCCAACAAACGGAGAGACCTACGGTTTATACTAAGCCGCCTCCGAAAAGCTAATGGTTTTTTATGAGGAGCTTTATTTCATGTCAGAAATGCACTCGTAGGGGTTGACTTTTGACGACGACAACGCAAATGTTCTAAGGCTAATGATTTGAAGTTCTAAGGATTACGATAGACTTACTTAAAATTAGAGGCTGACATCACCGCTATCCAAGAGATGGACGGGACAAGGTCGGTAGAAGGTGTGCCCTCGTGAAATTTACTACAGCGGTCATATAAAGGAGCGCAAATTTTTTGTGGGCCTCGTGGTGGGAAAGACTCCGTCGCCTAGTACTGGCGTTCACTCCGGCGAATGAAAGTATCGGTTCAATCCGCATCAAAGCGAATTATCACTATCTTGTTGTGGAAAAGATACGGAAGGTTTCAAGACCGGAGAAAACTGTTATAGAACACAAAATGTGGTCTTTTTACGGATGCCCAGAGTATACTTAACTTAGGGACGGAACACTTCTCCAACGTCCTGAGCGGCAGTGAAAGCGAAACACCCGGAGATAGTGAACCCGAAATCTTAATCGATGACGGTGGAACAGACGTTCTGCTACCTGACCAAGTCGAAGTTCGAATAGAGATTTTTCGCCAAGAAAGCAAAAAAGCGGCTGGGGCTGACGGCCATTCGAACTTGGCGGTGAGAACCTGTCAAAGCGCATACACCAGCTTCTATGGTCTATGGTCCGATGAAAGCATGTTCAAGGATTTGGACATAAGTTTACTCTGCCCAATCCACAAAAAGGGCGCTCCCCCAGTCTGCGCCAACTGCCTCCTTAACATTGTATATAAGCTCCTTTAGAGCGTCTTGAGTGAACAGCTAAAGCCCACTGTCAACAAACCGTTTGGACCTTATCAGAGCGGCTTTAGGCCTGGTAAGTAAACCATTGAACAGATATCACCATGCGCCAAATCTTGACAAGGACCCATGAAAAGAGAATCGACTCCCACCACCTATTCGTCGATTTTAAAGCCGCCTTCGACAGCACGAAAAGGAGCTGCCTCTATGCCGCTATGTTTGAATTTGGTATCCCCGCAAAACTTATACGGCTGTGTAAGCTGACGCTATACAACATCAGAAGCGCCGTCAGAACTGGGGAGGACCTCTCCGAACCGTTCGGTCCATCATATTTGCCAACAGGTGCTACTTTGGACCTAATAGGCAATTGAAAAGCAAAGTCTTCTCTCGGCGAACGAAAACCAAACTTTACAAATCGCTCATCATACCCGTCCTACTATTTGACCCTGAGAGGTGGACGTGTTCAACAGCAGATGAGTCGGCTTTGGGAGTCTTCGCGATAAAAGTTTTGCGAACGATTTATGGTGCTTTGCGCATAGGCAACGGCGAATACCGCAGAGGATGGAACGATGAGCTGTACAAGCTACGTTGCCTACGTCATGTTGTCCGAATGAATGAAAGTACTCCAGTTTTGAAAGTATTCGATGCAGTACCCGCTGTAAGAGGGAGACCTCCACTTGGAGAGTGAACTGACATCACTTGATATTTCTTAAGAAAATTAAACACTATATAATGGAAGAGAACTGCAAAGACTACCTTCACGCTACGTCAGTTCATATCTATGATAAGTCTGGTGGAAAAAACATTTTCGCCATATATTGTCCGCCCCGACACAACATGTCAGAAACTTAAATAATTGATTCCTTTTCTAAACTAGGTAAACGGTTTCTAGTAGCAGGTGATTATTATACAACGCAAAATATTCTTTCTAGGGATCTAGGCTAATATCTGCAAAGGGTAGAAATTTATATATTATTACATTAACATAAACCAAACGTCCTTCCATCTCTATAAATGAGAATACAATATCTCAAAAAGAATTCGTTACCTATCAGGGAGCTACATTGGATAAAAGACTCACCTGGAAAAACCACGTAGACAAAGAGATTAATCAAACCAAATTAAAAATTACGAACTTGCACTGGATTGTAGGCTCTAAGTCCAAACAAAGTCTAGAAAACAAATCCTTACTTTTTATTATGCTTTTAAAGCCATCGGCATCTAAATCTAGCATGATATAATTCAAATACTACAGTCTAAAGCCTTAAGATCAATATACAAAGCCCTTTGTTTGTACAAAAATCCACAATTCACAACTATCTCGGGATTAAAACTTTCTAGCTAAATAATTATTATAGCAGACCTACCCTAAGCGATGAAAGAGTGGGGGTTTACGTTTGAACTATGACTAAAGGCTCTGCCGCATCCAATTATTCTACCCCGGAGTTGCGCTCCGCATATATCCTTCATGATATTAAAGTTGACTTCTTAATATATCTTTTGTTAAATTTTAACATGAGTTTTTGGTATCCCTAATGATATCTATAAAAACACACTGTTTAATAAATCTAAGCCATATTGGTAATGTATTATACTTTGTTTACTTTGTTAATCTATACAGTGGTAATGATTAACTTGTTCTGGGATTAAGAATTAGCTTTAAGATCCTCGAAACTTTTTTTAGTTTCCTAAGAAGAAAGATTCAATAAAACATTATAAAGAAAAAAAAGTTGGTATTTCCAACTGGCGCCAAACAGCGCAAAAAAGGCAAGCTATAGTTGATTCGGTCAACGCCAATAAAAATGGATGGAAGGTATATTGTGCTGCTACCTTACATTCATAGCAACCTATCTTATGAGAGCGCCATGCCAAAGTTGTCACCGCTTCCCATGCCGTTAGTGTCGTTTGTCCCGCAGAAACCAACGACGATTTGATTTTTTCCGTAAAACCGGCTCGACTCATTTCTCGTTGCTATACAAGGTATACTGGCTTTTTTAAAGTAATATAAAACAATCGATGATAATGCGTAGTTTTTTTTCAAAAGAAATGAAAACTAAGTTCGGAACTATTGTAATTATTTGTTACCATTTAGATCATGTTTATTTCATTCGCGTTTATATTCGAACATATAAATTATGAAATTCGTTGCTTTCACTAAAACATAGTTTAATTAGTTCAATTTAAAAAAAATCATATTGTTATTTTTTATTGTAGGGCGCCAAATTTTATATAATAATATATGTTTTTCATACTTGAACGTACACTTTTTCGCGAAAAAACAAAAATTAGTGCAATAGTAATAAAATTGTTTGTACTTTGTGTGAAAAATTTATTGCCTTACCGGCTTAGCTAAAATCGAAAATTAAGAGTTGTTTTGATGTAATATTTTCTTCTTTCTACAAGTTTAAGCATTAGAAAACAAATCAGCTTGGTATATAACAACCATCTTAATATGTATATATATATCTCAGTAAAGAAAATAGAGAAACTTCATATTATCATATTATGTACTATTTATGTGCAATAAATTTTAGAATTTTCATTAAGCCTCACTCATACATACCTTTTGTGTGTGGTTCTATATGGAGTACACACGTACTCCTGTGCGATTTATTCGATAGTATTACTATGACCAACGTTGAAGCTATTAAAGCTAGTAAAATAGAAGCTACTAATAGAAATTTCTCCACTTTACTACGCGATCCCCAATTAATTGCTGCCTGCAATAATAATTATGGCTTAGTTTTAAATTTTACATGTGTCTAAATAAAAAAAAAAAACTAGTAGAAAATACTAAGTTTGAGTAGGACCAATTCGATATGGGGGGTAAGCTTGTTGGTAGATTTAAGGCCAAATTAACAGATCGGTCATAATTCGAATAACATCTCAATGTTAGTTATTGAATTCGCCAATAAGAGCTATTTCAAACACATCGTCTCTATGATGCTTAAAGTTGTCATTGGTTTTACTCTTTTGAGTATTTACAAGTCATATAGAATTTTTCAATAAGAAGTGTAATTTTGATATTAAATGAAACTGTTTCCAGAAAAAATCCTTGATTTCGCTGTTTGTGTGGTGCATAGCGCCATCTTGTGGAAACTACACATTGTCCATATCAGTACCATCAAATTCCAAAAAAAATTTTATTCATTCCTCGATAGAGCATTCATTCATTTTCAAAAAAGCAAGCTCCAATGACCCTTTCAGGATAGAGAGCCAAACAGCTTAGGATTTCTGAACCCCAAGAACTTATCGACGTAGTCGTCGGGATAGAAATGGTCCTCTTTAGTCTTCGTTGAAATTTGTGTAATGATTTTTACCAGGCTCACAAAACTTTTTAAGGATTCGATGAACAGCTTAAAACTTTCTTAATAAAAATCAAGAACAGTCGAATAATTTTAAGAAAAAATCTGAAGCTTTACTATAATTTTTTTGAACAATGAAAATCTAGTTGTTAAAAAGTTATAGGAGCAAAACTGATTTTCGTTTACTTATGTACAGTTAGTCGTATAAATAAGTAGTATACACTGGATATGACAAAATTATTCTCCTTAGCAAATTTTTAAATAACAAAAAATATAATCTAATGCTGGTTTATTTACTTGAAAGAAATTTAAAAAGCATCTTCAGTAGAAATTTTTTTTTGCGTTCTAAACAAAATTAAATAGAAATGCATATCACAATATTTATGTATACAATAGAATAAATAGTGATACATTATGTTATATACCGTCTTAAAGCGATATTATAGTATTTGGTTGTATATCTTTTAAAATTAACAATGGCTCCAAGTCGTAAAGACATTGATATTACCAATTTTTTTTGTTATTGCTGGAGGTATTTTGCTCCACTCATCTTCTAGGATACTTTGAAGTTGTTCTTTTTTGTTATCGAATGCTTCCATATTTGACACTGTAAATGTTCCCATAAATTCCCGACAGGGTTCGTATGCGGTGAATCCGAATATGTTTCCAATTGTTTTGGCACATAATAAAGGAGCCATTCTCTACTTAACTCTATGTGTATTAAATTTTCATTAATCTGAAAATATGACTCCCTACCAGAACGTTTGATCATTGTTCTCGTATTATTTCCCAAAAGTAACTTACGCTAATTAAGCTAATTTCGCTATTATTGAAGACCCTTGGGTGCCCAGAGGGCGACTTATTACTGGTGTTACCCAAATTTGTATACTTATTCACAATCTTTTGAAACGACCGATTTCACGGAAGAACTTCTTAATGTATGCTAACTTTTGTGATATTAAGTTCATTCTCATCGCGTACCTAATGCGACTTAATATTCAAAGTTGAATATTTTCGCCTATCAAAGTATCACCCATTAGGAAATTTATTTATATAATATATTGGATTATATATTTTGGAAACACGTAAATTTCAATCGTTTCCAAAGACAGTGCTAGTGTATACTTATATATGTGACCAACTATATACATTGCGACTTGTGCACCTTAACACGGTTTCGACAAGTGGATTTTTTTTTAATTTACTGAGGAGAACTACATGAAACAACGTCAAATATCCACCAACCAAACACGAGCACATTTTTAAACTTACTCTGGCAGTGTGGTACCGAATATGTATTCCTGAATTTCTAGAACGTTCCTGTAGATGAATTCCACCGATGGAGCACACGTCATCTTCTTGAAAAGTTGTTTGTTTGTAAGTCGCCATCTGAAAATACAACATACATCATAAATACTTACAGTGGCTCAATAAAGAACTCGGACATACATTCCACTGTTATTAACATACAACTTCATATATATATATATATATTTACACGTATATTCGTATGTGTTTCAATGCAATTATTATATTTTTCAACTATTCGGATATTGATATTCCTAGAAAGACGAAATTATCTACGTTTTCAAAGTTAAAACTGTCAACAATGACGTTGGAGCCGAGCCGCGAATGTAATGACAGAAGATATTTCGAGTTTTCCTCGTTCACTGCTAGAAATCTTGGAGAAAGAAGAACTAACGCCGCGGTTGTTGAGGCCTATAATGTCAATATCATCGGCATACGCCATTAGTTTTACAATCTTGTAAAAGATTTTACCTCGTCTATTCACCTCTGCAGCTTGTATTATTTTCTCCAGTGACGGAGCTTTTAGTATTTCTTAACTTCAATTCAAATTCAGACATAGCGGGGTCAACAGCAGCAACAGATGAAGTTAAGAGCGTCACTTCTTTTTGTGCACCATCTGCAATTACCCTAGCACCCAGTACGAACACAAACATTTATGTTGGCAAGCAGCGTAGCAGCAACAGCAACACCGCTTAAAGTGACAATTACGGAACCGGGTGATACGGCTGTATAAAATGTAAAGCAAAAATAAAACGATATATATGCGGGAATGCACTTTTAATTTGTTTGTCCTCGAATTGGCCAAAATACTTAAAAATATGTCACCGATTGGTTGCCAGAACAGCCAAATAAAAAAAAAACTGAAAACTAGTAACTTTTAACGTAAATCTAATGAGAATGGTCAATGGCGGACCAACGTATGAACTGTTAAAGATTCCAAGTTGTGGTGAGTGCATTTCATCACACGTCGCCAGAAACTAATAGATTTTGCTATTGGTGCTTGTTTGAGCGCTCAAGAACTAAATCGTACGCAAAAGTATATAACAGAATGTGACAACCTAATGAGATCCTGTGTAAGATTTGATAAGTTTCCAATAGAAGATCATACCGAATCGTATCTCTAAGATAAATACTGAAATTTAAATGACTATTTTGTACGACTGCAGCTGCCTTTGGTAACGTTTTTTCCAAATCGGATTACATCTTGCCTAACAAGTTTAAAGACTCAGTTTAAGGAAAGTACGATGCATGCCTTGACAACTCCCAGATCCCCCATCCTGTGTGGAATTTATTTAAGAGCAATCAAGTGCTTCCAAACACTTAAGTAGATAATCAGGATAAAATTTCAATGACCTTCATGCTATTCAATCCGAGAAAAGCGAAAAATACATAGCTTCAAACATGTATTAACAACTATCTATCTATCTTACATTCTCAAAACGTTTAAACAGACAGTTGGGATTCTATACTGCATTATACATTTGTTCAACAAAATTATCAGAAACAACATTTTCACTTTGGGAACAATCGCTCTCATCAAGACGAGACCCACCCCAATGATCTCAATTAGATGACTCTCTGACTTCTCGGGAGGAAGTTGTATCAAGGCTAAATTGGCCTCACTCTAACAAACCTTAACCCAGTGCTCTATATGCTGCTCAGAAAAAACATTTGATTAGAGCGCAAAATTTTCTGGTAGAACCAAAGAAGGCATAATCATTATTTTTTTTTTTTTTTTGTTGAATATTTTTATTGATATATATTAAATTAGTCACATAAATAAACAAAAAGTTTCAATATAAAGTAGTACAATGTTTCAAAGTCTCTAGTCGAGCTCTCAAGAACCTTAATGTAATGTGATATTCCTTTTAAGAATACTGAATTAAATTTAATTACATTTGCATTTGTATATATGTACAAGAGTTTGCAGTGAAAAATACATAAAAACATTACTTGTTAACTTAAATCTAAACTATTTATTAGAAAATAAAATAAATTGGGAAAACTGGATGATAGGAAGGTGGGAAATGAGGGGTTAATGTGTTATTGTGATAACCACCAAAATTTTTTTTTGCATTTGTAAAATTCGAATTTGTCTTTTTGCGATAGTGAATTATCAAACCTATTATTAAAATCTGTTAGAGTAGATTCACAAATAATTCTTTCGTTCGCTCTTCTATATATATGATATATTATTGGCGCACCTTCATTATTTTGAATGAATTTGTGTCTATACAGGTATAAAAATATTTCGGGTGGAATAAAACCATTGTTTATTGCAGTTTCAGCATATCTATCATCACAATAGAAAGGTGCTTTTATGAACATGTTGGTTTCTTCTTCCAGGCAACGAATAATATGGTTCCTAATCAGGGATATCATTCTTATGTCAAACCTCATTATTTGAGCTGTAGCGTATAGCTTTTTATTTGATATAAATTTTAAGTAGTTGCTACTTGATGCTCTGTAAAGAGAAATACAAACGCTAAGTATTCTTCGCTCAAATTTCCTGATGCGTTCCATATAATAAGGAGATATATTAAACCATATAGAGTATCCATAACTTATTATTGGTTGTATTAGTGATTGGTACATAATAATTTTAACTCTTTTGTTTACTTTTTTTGAACAGAACATTTTTTTGTATACAAAGAATGCGCGGTTAGCTTTCGAAAGTTGAATATTTATGTGATCGTTGAAGTATAAAAATTTGTCTAAAGTAATTCCAAGGTACTTAACTTTGTTAGTTACAGTGATTAAATCATTTGATTCATTTGCTTTGATACCAAACTGTCTCCATTTTTTCCTAATATTAAAGGAGCATTTGGAAATTGGAGGCCTAAAAAGAATGCTTTCACATTTACTTATATTTGTTTTAAGATGCCAATTCTCAGCGAACTTTTGCACTGTATCGAATTTTTGCTGCAAACTTGTGTTTATGGCTGTTATATTATCATCTGGATGATAGATGACTATGTCATCAGCAAATGCTATTATATTATTTGTTTTATTTAACAGATCTGTAAGAAATAGATTAAATAATATTGGGGCATTTACTGTGCCCTGTTGGAGGCCATTTATAACATTAAAATCACGGCTGCTGAACTCGTCTCCAATATTGACTCTATATTTTTTATTTGAAATCATATTCACGATGAGAACCAGTAAGTGTAAGTGGAAACCGTAACATAACATTTTTGCGATTAATCCTTTCATCCAAACTTTATCAAAAGCTTTTTCTAAATCAATGAAGCATGCTCCTGTAACTTGTTTTTTGTTCCAACTCCAATTTATATCTGAGACCAGCAGATTCATTGCGTGGATAGTGGAGTGCTTATATTTGAAGCCAAATTGGTTATGGCTTATTATTTTCTTTTCTTCTAAAAATTTATTTATATTCATATTAATTACTATCTCAAATATTTTGCTTATATTGGGTAACATACTTATTGGTCTAAGATTGTTTAAATTGTTTTTATCTTTAACTTTTTTAGGAATGACTACGAGTTTGGCTGTCTTCCATTGGTTTGGGAAGTATGAATTGTTAAGTAAATTGTTAAATAATGTGCAATAATCTCGAATTAGCAACATGGGTAAATTTTTTAGTACAATGTTGGGGATTTGATCTAGGCCTGACGACTGTTTGTTTTTAAGGTTTGAAATGATGTTTATCAAGCCATATGGCGTGACGAAGTAATTTTCAGTTTGGTATGTGTAAGATTATTTGCTTTCTTTACATCAGTAAAAGTCGTTATAGTCGATTTAATTCCTTCATATCTGGTTTTGATTGCTAAAAACTGGGTAAAAGAATGTTCTACCATATAATGTACTGGATTATTCCAATCAGTTTGTTTAGCTGAGTGAATAGCTTCGAAATGACAGCCTATTATATCTGCCATATTCTTTCTTTCTTCTACGATATAGTTGTTCGTTGGTAAATCTATTTCGAACTGACTAGGATCCAGGCCTGCTTTATAGATAGTGTTTAAACGATCTGATGGCACATATATTCGACTAATAATGTTTTTTTCATGATGAAGAAAATTTTTTTAACAATTGCGAATTTCCTGGGGTTTTTGCTATCTAGGGCTTTAATTCTGCTTTCCAATTGTTTGTTTAGTTGAATTTTTATATTTTCGTTAATCATTTGTTTTATAAGCTTTAATTTTGCTTTAGCTAGGCTAAGACTGTTTTCAGTTGAATATATTTCAAGACGGTTGTGTTTTTTGATAATGGAGAGTGTTTTACTTTTTTCTTTCATCAAAAGTCAAAGCTATTATCACCAGTGCAGGTAGCTATTATTTGGATGGCTTGGTGATCACTGTCGTAGTTAATGCAGTTCAAACAGTTAATCGAATTTCTATTTTTATGTATCTCAATTCTGTGGTCAGCAACACAGATATCTAAAAATGATTGTGATCTTTCGAATGAGGGAGTTATTGAAGTAAAAAGGTTGCATCTGTATTTGATAGAATTTGTAGTTAGCCAAGCATTCAAGATATTACCTTTGGAATTGTTAACTGAGTTACCCCAGTTTAAGTGTTTACTATTGAGATCACCTGCTAAAATATAATAGTGATTACAATCGTGTAGCTTCAACTCCTCAAATAGGGTGTTTATCTCACTATCTCCCGATGGGTAGTAGGCTGCAATGATATATAGAATTTTGTTTGCTAACAACTTTACTTTAATGATGCAAGTCTCAAGATGCTTAAGTGAGTCAAGTTTCCTGCAATAAAGTTTCTTAAATTTAATATTTTCTTTAATGAGGATGGCAGTGCCCCCTCCATTGCCTGTATTTCTGTCTCTTCTGATTAAATTGTAATTTTGAAATTTTAGCTTATGTTTAGAGCTCAGTTTGGTTTCATTTAATAAAACTAAATCAGGGTTATTATCATCGAGGAATTGAATCATGTCTAATCTTCTGTTAATATTAATAAGTGAATTTATATTGAGGGAAATTATATTCAATGTGTTACGAATGTTAATAGTTTGAGAATCAGATTGGTTCATGCTGTTTCGACCAGATTGCATATAACGTCTAATCTTTTTGTTTGAGCGTCTATTTGGTTTTGGAGCAG